GACAGCCAGAACCGCAGTGCCTCGTCACGTGACAGATACCAAGCTTCCCAGGAAGCCCTGCTTTCCTCCAAGACCAGCAGCCGGTCAGGGCAAGTGGGGTCGGGCGGACGTGCACTGGGTGGCACCTGTCCCTCACCACCCACAGTGCCTGTGCGGGAACAGGAACCCTGCTGGAATCCTCCGGGCTGGTCTTTCTGCGCTCTCCCCACCAGGTGGCGCTACGATGTCAGACAAGGACGCCCCGCAGCTGGCGGCCTGCAAAATGGCAGCCAACTCTTTTTCTTTTCTTTTTTTTCTTTTTTTTTCTTTTTTTAGGTTTTTGCCATAGGCCACGTGTGCTGCCTGACAGAGACAGACAGAGACAGCAAGAGGGGAAATTCGAAATCAGTCCCCGTGGGGATGGCTATGTTGCGATCCCTTCTCCAATCTTCTGGAATTTGAGGCGTGCACACACAAGTACATGGCATGACTTTCAAGCTGCCAGGTCCGGGACTCGAATGTGGCTGGCCCCGTGGGAGTCCAGAGCACTAACCACCATGCCACCTGCTGGCCCCGCATGGCAGCCAATGTCCACACTGGAAGGGAAAGGAGAACTCTAGATGTGGCTCAGGAAGGTAGAAGAGCAGAGAAAACGCTTTAGTGATGTCTACACAGGAGCGAGAGCTTCGCAAACGGCTCCTTCTCAACATCTTTTCCAGACAGGAAGACAAGGACCTAGCTGCGCGCGGGTGGAATCTGACGAGGCCTGTCCAGTCCAGGTGGAGGTGAGGCAACTGTCTGACCGGGAGGTGTCCTGCCGTCCCCAGAGGCCCGCTGAAAGCAGCCACATACGAAACCCATCTGCAGAGGTGTCCCCAACCGTCCCTCAGTAAGGAGAAGCTGGTCACATCCTGGGTCCTCCGGTAGACCCTGGGAACACAACACACACACAACACATACACATAGCACAGCGCACACAACACATTCACAAACACACAGTGAATACACATTACAATGCACACCTGTATACAACACATGTGCATGCATACAACACACACAGCATACATTAGAAAACAATGCTCCCAACAAATGCTCTCTTGCGATGTTTACTTATACACACAAACAAAACACACAAAATACACTTATACACTTAACACATGCACATAACATGCACACTCACAACAGATACTTCTACACACAACACATACACACTTAAACAGTGACGCAGCACATGTTTAAACACGATGCACTCACACAGCACAATTTGCATTTAGACACACACAATACATGTAAGCGTACTTAAAAAGTTCCAGAAAAAATTAGATTATAGAAGGGTTTCTTTTGGTGCAAAAAATATTTTTTTTAAATCCATGTATAGTTTTCTGTAATACACATTTTCCGTGAACTTTCTGAAGGCTCTTGGTACACACTTAAATGTGTACACTCACTCACACGGGCCCTGGCCCAGGACTGGGTCACCTTCCTGTACAGTAGCACCAAAATGGATGGGGAACCGGACCCGCTCGCCTCGGCCTGGGCTCCTCACCCCCTACCCACAAGGTTCAGGAGCACAATTTAAAATCATTCTCATCAAGAGAAGACCACAAAAACAGGTTGATTTTTTTAAAGAATTGCTTTATTTAACTTTATTCATGTATTTATTTTAATTTGACTAGAGGACAGAATGAGAGAGAAAATGAGAAAGCAAGCTGCCAGGTCTGAGGCTCGAACCATGGTCGACCATGTGGGAGTCCAGCGCCCTTAACCACCACACCACCTGTCAGCCCCAGGCGTTGATTCTTCACGCAGTTAGAAACTCCATTCTCTCTGGGACATTGTAAGGGACAATGGCAGAGCGCCCCAGAAGTGCTCGGTCACCTCACTGTGTTTCCAGTCTGGGGAGCATTTTTACAAGAGACCCTGAATGGGCTGAGCAGGGGCGTTCTTTTCCCTCTGGAGGTTACCGTTCTTTTCAAAGCGTGCCCAGTGTTACCAGGCAATTGCATTGCCGAGGACATTTTAATTGGTGGCGTCACCGTTTTACCCAGCGCCCACGTCTTACTGACCCAGCTCTGACGGCATCAGCTCCTTTGCTTTATTTTAAGGTTCAAGCGGCATGTGTGCTTGTCAGAGCGACAGAGACATGGAGGGGTCATCTCCCTCCTCCACTTCTGCATCCTATCAGGACTTGGGGCATGCACATGCATGTGTTTTCAAGCCCCTCGAGCAGGCTTGGGACCAGCTGGCCATGGAGGGTAAGACTCCCTTAACCACTGGGCCCTAGGCCAGCCAGGCAGCACCTCTTGTGAGCCCGTGATGTGTCCTGCAGAATTTCAGTTACTGATAGTGAAACAAAGCAATGCAAAGAGTCTTCTAAAAGTTCATAGAAAATGCATATTATGAAACAGCTATGCATGGATTTCAAATTTTTTTGTACTAAAATAAACCCGTACTTTCATTTTTCCACATTAAAAAAAAAAAATTCTCGTACTTTTTTTTCTTTTTGCTCACCAGGAAGAGAGAGAAAGAGGGTAAGTGAGAAATAATCACACCCCGGGGGGATGGCCGTCCTGCAGTCCCCTCCTCCATTCTCCTCTCACACTCTAGGCATGCACGCCTGCCCAGCAGGAGTCTCAAGTCACTGGGTCTTGGACTTGAACCGTGGTTGACCATATGGGAGTCCAGTGCCTTAACCACCACACCACCTGCAGGTTCCCGTACATTTCTTAAGATAAAGAAAATTACCCGCTTTAGCACACTGCGAGTATCCCAGGGTACCTGTTTCCTGGGGTGGAGACAGACATCACAAACTACAGCTCTGTGCCCACACACCCTCTCTCAAAATTAGAAAAGGAACTGTGGCCCCTGAGGAAATCGATGGCCTCTTGCTTGCAAAGATCTCAGTCCCTTTTTTTATCCTAGCTCTTTTGGCTTCATTTATGTTAAAACCACTGATGAAGTGTTCTTTTCGAATTCCATGAGTTTATTTTAGGAACGTTGATAAGCTCAGGAAAGTGCAGAGGAGGACCGACCTTGCCTGTAATGACGGCACCCAGAGGCCCGCAGACAGTGCTCCTGTTCCTGCTCTCGGGCACCCCGTCGTGAGTGTATTGTTTTAAAGCCAAGCTGGGGTCACACCACACACTCTGACATCTTGATTTGCTATGTTTAATGTAATATGGCTAGTGTCTATGTTGGTAAATATGCTTTTCCAAGTTTTTTAAGCCCAGCAAATCTAATCCATTATATTGACATATTAAAATTTTTAAAATATCGTTCCCACAGTTAGGTGTTTAGGTTGTTTCTATTTTTTTTAAAAAGTCAACATGACTGAAACTCATGCACGAGTGATGTCAACCAGTGGGTTCTTACGGTTTCTACGGGGAAGAGCTAGGAAGATCTGAACTGGGCACAAAGCCTGGGGCTGACTGAAGGTTCACTGTCCGCCCTAAGATGAGAGACAGCTAGCCCAGAGTGCGGCAAGCTCCTCCTAAAGCCATCTAGCCCAGTTAAGATGTGTCGGGAGGGTAAGTGATCTTGGGAAGAATGGTTGGTATTGGAAAGAATACCTGTTTCTAGCTTAAGTCTTCTATTCTGGAACATTCTCTCTTGGGATGAAAGGAGAGCATTCACAAGTCTTGAAAATGCTCTTAGAATTGTAGCAATCTGAAAACGGATAGCTCTGAAGGACACAATTTACTCTGTGGCCTTCGATTTTCTGTGACCTGACGTGAATCCTGAGTCAAGACATTCTCTAAGAGTCCTTCCAGTCCTGAAATTCTGTGCCAAGGTCCTCCTCTCTCTGCCAGCTAACAGGTGGAGTGGTGTAGGGGTGGGCTCTGGCACACCTGGGAGAAACCGGGTCTTCACAGGAGGCTGACCCCGTAAGGGCAGGACTCCGGGAAGCAGAGGGATTCTGAGCGCTGAGCTTTTTCAGATGCAGAGCAAGAGGGAGATGCGTCCTCCAGGCTGCTGCAGCGAGGACCGCTGGGTCCCAGCCTGGGACGACCGTGCTAGTGCGGGGCACCTGTGCTCCACTGGGCTCCTCGGCCTTCACCATTGACGTTCTCGCCTGGTAACTGCCGAGGGGCTGCCCTGCTGAGGTTCCCCTTTGTCTTTCGTTCTCAGAAGTTCAGTTACGTGTCTCGAAGTGTATTCCGTGAGTGTTCTCCAGTCTGGAGTCGCGGGCCATGCTCTGGCAAATGTCGCACTGTCTCAGCCGCTCTGTGCTCCTCTGTGTACCCTTCGGTCTCTCGCCCTCCCCTCCCAGGTACCAGTGACGCGGATGTTGGGTTGCATGTGGTTGCCAGACCCGGCCAGGCTGGTCAGTCTGTTCTCACTTGTTCAGATCGGGTACTCTTGTGATTGGGCTGTCAGTTCAGATACTCCCTGCCCCTCCAGGGTGCTCTTGGTCCGCCTGCTGAGCTTCCACTTTGGGTTATGGTATTTTTCAGTTCTGCAACTTCCATGCGATTTTTCTTTATTTCTTGCTTATTTGGTGAGATTTCTTATTTCTTTTCTGAGACTCTGTAGTGTTTACAGTTGTTCATTGAAGCACTTTATGACATCTTTGTTAAATGTGTCCGATTTGTTACATAATTTTGTAGAATTATAGGATTTGTTAGAAAATGTATCCATTAGATAATTAATCCTAACGTGTCTGCCATCTTGTTTTGGTGACACACACACACACACACGAGTGGGGCTTTTCAAACTGAGTCTGTCGGTTTGGGCTGACATTTTACAAGGCCGGGTCTGGCCTGTGATTTTTTGGTGACATACACACACACACACACACATGAGTGGGAGCTTTTCAAACTGAGTCTGTCGGTTTGGGGTGACATTTTACAAGGCCGGGTCTGGCCTGTGACTCCAGCAAATCCTTATTCTCGTTGAGGCTTTCACTTCTGTCGAGAAGGTTTTCTGTTTTCCCGTGTGGGGACCGTGTCCCCCGTTCAGGTCCCCTCCTAGGCACTCGATGATGTTAGGGCTGTAGGAAGTGGGATGCAAGTGTCCCCGGCCCTGCTGTTCTTGGCGAGGACCGGTGTGTGGTCTCGCTTCCTCCTGGGTGAGGCAGAGAGAGGCAGAGGGAGAGGGCCCGGCCAGTGTCATGCCTGGTGCCAGTGGCTTCCTGTCGACCTCTTCTATCCCCAAGGGCCAGGACAGAGGGAAAAAGCTTTTCTTCTGCTATTCGTTATTGGTATAGAGAAACAGAATTGCTTTTCTATTTTGAATAAGAAAATAACAATTAAATAAAAATCACCTATGTATTATATTTCTTTACCTTTTGGAGAGGGTATATTCCATTAGGTTGTCAAGGGAGTCATGACACATTTTTCTATGTTTTTCTATGCAAAAATTGCATCCTGACTTTCCTGACAACCCAGTGACCTAACAGCTTCATTATAACTTTTTCCCTTTCAAATGCTTACTTAGTCGGGGTTTGTTCCTGCCTTATGCCATCGCACATGATGGCTGGAGGCAGTGAAGACAGGTGACTTGTCTTGCTCCAGGTTCAGAGAAAGCTTTCAAACACGGTATCTTCAGCAGGCTGGGCAGTGGTGCAGCGGTTAACGCGACGCTCTGAGAGGTTCAGCCACGTGGGAAGGGCCTGGGTTTGCCCCCAGGGACCTTTCTGTGTGCACCGGGCTCGTGTGTGCCCATGACCCAGGCCTGGCAGAAGCTGGTTAGATGCTGGGGTCAAGACCCTGTTCAGTTCTTTCTCTCTCTCTCTCTCTCTTTCTCTCTCTCTTGTCTTCTCTATCTCTCTGCAGGCAATAAATAAATGAAGTTCTAAAAACCTCATCTTTTCGAATTATAGTCACTGGGAATTGTTACTTCTGTCCTTCATCAGATTAAGGAGTTAATCTTTCCCTACTGTGTTAAGAGTTTGATTCAAGGGGCCAGCAGGTGGCATGATGGTTAGTGTGCTGGACTCCCACATGGGTGACCACAGTTCGAGTCCTGGACCCAGTGGCTTGAAAATCATGCTGGGTGCATGTGTGAGCGTACCCAAAACCCCAGGAGGAGAGCAGAGGAGAAGGGATTACAGTGAGGCCGTGTCCTCAGTGGGTGGTTTCTCACTTTCCCTCTCACCATCTCTCTCTGCATCTCTCCACTGGGCACACATGCCTTATGACAAAAACCATGAAATAAGAAAAAAAACCTTTTTTTATTCAAAAACAGGTGTTACAATTTATCAAAAATATTTCTCTCCACTATTAAAGTAATTGCACGACTTTTCCTCATTTTTCATGTTAACATGAAAATTACATTGATAGATCTTTTTAAAATATATTTAGTCACGTTTGCAAGCCTGGGATGAATCGACCTGACCGTGGCGTGTTTTCGATTGTCACTGACTAGCCGATCATGTGTTGAGGAGTTTTGTAACAAGGCCAGCAAGACTGGCTGGTGTGTTGTGTTATTTTCAAGCTTTTGTTGGTCTTTTTTCATTCCAGTTTGTATTGTTTTCTTAGCAAACTTCTTGATGTAAAACAAGCAAATTCACCATTGCCAGAAGCAGGAACCCAATCGCCTGACATTTTCATCTCCCACTATCTAAAGAGCGTCTTCCTGAAAGAAATGAACACACCCATTGATCCTCAGATGTGTCTCTTTTAACCCTTCAAGTCATCATCATTCAGACATAATTTTCCCTTTTCTTTCCGAAAATGACTCAATTATTGAGGTGTAATTTGTATATTAATAATTTTACTTTCATTTTTGTCACTGTGTTATTAAAGGTGTTACCTCATTCAACATAGGAGTTGAAAGCAAAATTCAACGGAATGATGGCCTCTTAATTGCTTGCTTTAGTGAATATTTACCAAAATATTTATCAAAGAAATACCGGAAAGACTGTTTTGATTTTATTTATTTATGTATTTATTTTGAGTGCCAAACCACGATGTAATGAGAGACTTAGAATTGCACAGCATCTGTGCTGTCGCTACAGCTGGGCATTCCGAAGGTGAAAGTGCAATGTTCCAGAATCCCAGCCTTTCTGAGCACCAAGCTGATGCCGTAGAGGGGAGTTCTACACTGAGCTCTTGTGATCAGTCGCAGTACAGATTACCCACAGGCTGTGTGTGTAAGGCGCATGTGAAACACAAACGAGTGTCATGTCTAGACTTGCGGCCTCTCCCCAAGGGAGCTCTCTGTGTATACGCAGATATTCCAAAATCAGAGAACTCGTCGGTCCCAGACGTGGCTGGTCCGAAGCGTGTCAGATAAGGGCCCGACTCAGCATCAGAAGATGCCGTGTGGCAGGAGACACAAGAAAGACCAGGCAGAGGACGCCCAGCCAGAGACCTCGTGAGAGGAAGCGCCAACCAGGAACTTGACAGAAGACCGGGCGGACTGTGGGGACATGGCCAGGAGCCCGAGCAGGGAAGCTGGGTTGTGACTGACCTGCTGCAGACGTCGTGGTGCCTTCTGGGTAACGGGGCCATCTACAGAATCTCATTGCTGAGTTGTATTTTGGGGCAATAATTTTCTCATGTTTGACAGTGTATCACAGCCCAGATTTTCCCAGGAACCAAGTATTGTGGCATTTCCTGGCCCCAACTCCCAGCTTTCCCTCTTCAACGATCAATCTGATTTAGTATTTTTTCTCCCATAAGCATAAGACGGTCAGCGTCTGAGGACCACTGTCTCCGGTTCCGGCAGCTGGAGCTCCCTGAGCGAGCACTAGTGAGCAGGGCTGTGGCCAGGCCTGTGCTGGCTCCTGGTGGGACAAGAATGCCAGGTGTGATCTCACCAGATCACCCGCACCCCCTTTTATTAGAAAGTTCAGAGTCGCCTGAAGTCCACTAACCCGTGTCCTCGGATAGGCAGAGCTTTTATGAGTTGCCAAGAGCTACTTGTCGGGAATCCCTGGGCTTTTGAAAAAAGAAGCAAGGGGGTAAATGACCCTGGCCCGACCTGAGCTTCAATATCGTAGACACTAAATCCCCGGATGAGACGGGCCTAACCTCACTTACCAGCCTGGACCGAATGGTCCTCGTCCAGCAGACGTCCCTCCGGCTGAGGTTCTGCTATTTAAATAGAGGGTCACTTCTACTCTGAACACTCGTGATCTGGGGACATCTGCCCGTGGTGTAGAGCACACACCCCCAGGAGTCTGTGTATAATTGCCTTTTAAAACCACATACACACAAAGACACTCTCACTATTTTTTAATTTATATAGAAATTAAAGCTGATAAAAGATCAAAATCAAGCGAGCAGCTCTTTGTTTACAAAACACTAAGCCTCAGAGCTATTTTAGGTCATGGTCTTTAGGCCCCACCTGGTAGCATGGCTGTTAGCAAACTGAACTGTGGTGCTGAAGCCACACGGCTGATGGGGGTCTGGGTCCCTGGTCCCTGAAAACATGCCGGGCAGATGTTAGTGCATGCAAACATCCCAAGAGGACAGTGGATAAGGGATGCAGCGTGGCCTTCTCCCCTGGGAATGATTTCTCACTTTTCCTCTCTTTCCTCCAGCAAAGGCATGTACCCTTTAGCACATTTTAAGAAAGAATGAAGAACTAGGGATGTCTACCATCAGCGGCAGAGGCTGACAGCCGTCCCCTCGGCCTGAGGGAATCTTCCTTAGCCTACTGTTCCCTGTGGTGCCTTCCACACGTCCTCATTCCTGAGCTCTGACTCGCAGCCTCCCCCCCACC